TCAACGAAAACAAAAATGATAAGAAAAACTTCCATTTCGTTATTCATTTTTTTTCCACAACGCTGTCCATGGCCATAGGAAGAGATGACTTTCGTGTTACACTTATGCAAGGGAAATAGTTAAGCAGCCAAACTCCATCCGATAGAGTGGGATGATAGCTTCTAGTTGTGGCAAACTGCTTGGTTTATTCATTTAATTTGGTTTGCGTGTTGTTTTTCCCTCGCTCTCGCCTCTCGATGCTTGTACATTTTTTATAAATCTAGTCGCAACGATGATACTATAACGATTACGTGCAAAATGGGAACCTCATTGCTCTTTGTATTCTGAGTTCCGACATACATGAGAATGCCATTATTGCGTTTGTTTACTTGCCGTCTGCACTTGAATTTTCTTTTTCTCTCTCATTGCTCTCATTGACGACGACGACATCGTCGTCGGAGTCGTAGCCGTAGTCGTCATAAAATATTGAAGCGACGAGAATTTATCGGCAAGCAAAATTCTCGCTTCGTTAAAAAAGAATTGAGTGCATTCATTGTGGCTCCAATTAAATGTTCGTTTCAAACGTAAGCGATTCCAACCACACTCTTGATTCGGAAGCGAAAAATTTTAATTCCAAAAATGATGTTTGCCATGTTTGTTTCTCGCTGAGATGAACATTTTCACGCGTCATTTTTTCACGCACTCTTTGCTCTCGCACTCTAGTTGCGGCGGAACAGATACACATTCAAATATTCATCCAAGCAAAATTCAAATGATTCGCTCTTTTGTTATGACACAGTGAATTAGGTATTTCCTTGATAACAAACTTGATGGCGTTTTTTTTCTACTTGCGCTGTCGCTCGGTTCGAGTACATGTCGTCGTGACTATGATTTGGTGTGTTAACATAAAGAAACAGGGTACAGATTTTTATGAGTTCAATTAGACTGAATTGAGACTTAAAAGAGCAATCAGTTTCTTTCTGCGCTATCAACCAAGTCGCACATTGGACGAGCATGCAGAGCAGAAAAAGAACAACAACAGCACACGAATCAACGTTTCGTTTCGATGGCAGCTTCAAATTGAAGTCGTTCTCCCAATCACGGCACAGCGCGCATGAAATCGTTTTGTTTTTAACCCAAGGCAATGAAAATCGATTTTACGAATGACAACGACATCGAATCATTCATACAGAAATCGTTGGAAATTCGGGCGAAAAGGATTAAATTACAAAAGCTCTACAAGCACATTTTGATTGAGTTCAATTTACCGTATTTAATTAAAAGTGAGCAAAATGAGCGCCAGGGGGTCGCTACAACTTCCAACCAGGAAGTGAATAAAATGCAATCAATTTTACAATGTTTCACTGATTGAGAGGTAGCATTTAATTTGTGTAGATAATTTACTGACGCCAGTCAACAATTTCATCAACATGTGGTATTTGTGCTGCGTTTTTATTAAAAATTGATATGTATTTATGCAAACATCATTCAGACTTCAATTTAAAATGAAAAGAATAATGTTTTCAAAAAGAGCAAAAGCTAGAACGATTTCCAAAAATGGGCAAACGAAAATTGTATTTTTTCTTATTCAAAATGAAACATGATTCCACCAACACGCTTCAGTACACGGCTCATTTACAATTCAATGGGAGCTCCGATTTTTTTATAGTTTTTTCTGTGTTGAAATGAAACTTGTCGCTCAAGAACACCTGAGCAGCAGCAGCATGAACATTGAGATTATTGTTATTCAATATGACGTTGGCATTAAATTATCTGTAATTCTTATTTTGGCGGGAGAGTCGATTTTATTTCATCGCCTGTTATGCTTCACTTTCGTTTTAGTGAGGCCGTAGAAAATCTATTCACGTATTCACGTCATACATAGAAATATGTCTCGTTCATAAACGCAATAAATCGAATGATATTTAGAAATGCGGCGATTCCGCATCTATGCTCATGTGCATTTGGTTTGGCTGCTAAACGAGTAGCTGCTTTGGTATCTGATGATCTAGAGCATGAGAAAACTTCGTATATGATAAAACAACGTGTGTTGAAATGGTTTTGCTGCAATTTTATTTCCATCACTTTGTTTTTGATTTATATTCGGCATAAAATACATCGAACCGCAACGTATTGGTTATGCTTTTTGGATTACAAACTGATTTAAAGACGAGAGAAAAGAGCGAAGTGGATGGAATACAACAATTTCGAATTCGAATCAGTTCAGTATTGGTGGTGTCAGGTATCGTTAAATTAGTTGTGCTTCGGTCGTTGATCGATTGCCGAGCGTCGTTCAATTTGTTGTTAAAACTTAGGCGCAATTGATGTGCGGTACAAAAGTTTTCCAAATCCATCATCGGAAATTCTATGGCCATGTATTTTTGTACGACTGGGAACACCAACTTTTGTCGTTTATACCGCACGACTGACACGTACATGTCATACGTTATACCGGCTTATAAAAATAAAATCGAAACTATATGAAGAAAATACAAATAACCTTATTTATACAAACATTTTTCGAAGTAAAGGTATTTGCTATGGATTCGACATTCGACAACGACACACAGTGAGAATAGAGAGAAATATATACAGGGTGATTCAGAACGACGTGCAAATCTCTCTACCACAGATTTCTTGACTCATGAGGAGTAAAAAATTGTATGGGCAATTTTCCCTCGGGGGCTATTTTGCTGGGGTTACAGCCTTCTACACACTATGGGTCAAGCCGCCCTGGTTCCAAGCCAAAGGTCATTATGAGCGCATTTTCGTACAAAAACTCATGATTGTTTGCTCTTTAAAAAGGAGGCTGTAACCCCAGCAGAATAGCCCCTGAGGAAAAAGTGTCTATACTTGGGCCAAGGAATCTGTGGTAGAGAGATTTACCCGTCGTTCTGAATCACCCTGTATATATGTATATATGCCGTGTATGTGAGCAAAGCGGCGAAATAATATGATTTCGGTCCTGTTCAATGTTGAATGACCGGAGATATATAGAATATTCCGGTTGGTGTGTGTATGTTTCGTAATGACAAATGTGTATTACGTGAGCCAAAGTGGCATGGGAAATACACAGCAGAAATGTACTCTAGAATCGAGAGCGAGAGCCAAAACAACAAATAAACACGGTATGTGCCGAAGGACTTAAAAGGATGAAAATTGGCAAACAGACGAAAGTAACGCAACGAAACAAACAACAACAACAGTAACAGTAACAGCAGCAACATAACGAACGATGACAGCGAAAAAGGAACAACATGACGAAGATGAGAAGGATCTACGAGTATCATATCTATGAGAAGACGAAGCTGTCGCATATATAGCAAACAATATACATTCACTTATAGAGAGCATGCACACATAGTGTAATAGGTACAGTTATGGTTTATTAGATTCATACTTTACATGCATATGTGTACTCTGCATTTATGAAAGAAGATGAACATTTCTCGATATTGCTTTGGTGTTCTCTCGTGTACATGCTTGCAAACAGCAATAAAAGCGAAAATACGAAGAAGACGTGGAAAAAAACGCCAACAAGAAAGGCAAAGCGAAAGAGAGAAGCAAGAACGACGACGACAACAACAAGCAAAAGAATTAGAAAAGTAGTCAACCGCAGTTCAAGTATAGATGTACCGAAAAACGAATTCTCTCTCTTTCTTGCCATACATTCGAGTCGAGTGTGTGTGTGTGTGTGCTGTTTGTCGCCCATGGATCCAGTAGGTGGTGCACAAATGCATTTTACAGTTTACCATTATGGTTCCACATAGCAAAAATAGTACCTAAAAGCATCTATAATGCATACCAATCTATATCACATACGTTCGAGGTCGCCCGTTCTCTCAGTCTCTTCGTATACGTTTCGTCGTTTGATAGTTCAAAGTGAGAGGAATGCATTAGGTTGAGCGCCTGACACTGCTAGCAATTTATCGATGGCAGACATATTTGTCTCGTGGGCTTGTTACTTTTTTCCTCTGTGCCATATTCGGCATAGATACGTTTCGATTGCTCTACTCACAAACATGGCTGTGAACTGTGCAATAGATACGTATGCGCGCGACCATCATCGTTGTCGTCGTCTGCATGTATGTGTGAGTAATCGAGTGAGTGAGTGAATGGATGAGTGTGCACATGGTGCTCTGCTGCGCGCACCGAATTCGGTTTCAGTATATTGGTTAATAAGAAAACTTTTATTGTATCAATCTCATACGATATGCATTGAAGAACCAAAGAAATTTACTTTTTTGAATTTGTTATCTACCAAATGTTGGGAATGTTGGTTACTTGAGTGCCTCAAGCATACGAATGAGCACAAGAATGTTATTAGTTCAATTATGGTTTGCGCATTTCAGAGGGCAAACGTTTATTTTTTTAGGAACATCCACGAACAGATAAGCCTTATCTCTTTTTTAGTCTCTTTTTCGACAATGTATAATGAGTTCGTAAAAAGAAAGTAGACAATTTACATGTGTCGTCTGCCAAACTGCACTTACACACATTTTCTATGTTGCATAATTCAGTTATTAATTTTAACAACTCGTTGCAGTCATCATCTACATAAAGTCAGAATCACTGATGCTGCAATAAAATGATAGTCCATTGTTGACCATCTCGAAATAGATTACCAGCTATTATCACATGTACATTACCAATAAACTTTGGTTTTTCGTTGTTAAAAACCTTTTAGACAAAAACACACAACATCACTTTGTATCACTCGGCCAATAATAATGACGACCGATGCACACAACCTATGTAATTGATTGCAATGGACTCTAATGGAACAGAGCAAACACATTCGCATTCAATAAATTACAAACATCAATCCCCGTCACAAGCAATATTCCGAATATATTGGCTACTTGCAGAAAGAGAGAGAGAGAGAGATCATCTGCCAAATCACCATCTGTGGTCTAATTGAAAATCATTTCAACAAATTTTCGAGAGCATCCATTGCCATGAACTTAAGATAATGTGTCCGTAAAATGGAAGTTCTTACGGCACAGACCAATTCTACTTACCATAAAGGCGTGTTTAGATAATGGCAAAACCATTTCGCAATGGCTTCTATCGAACATAATTACACGTCCACTGCACAAATGTTGATTCACCTGAAAAATAAATAAAAACAAACAAATGCAAATAAACAAATTATAGCTTACGGTCACGTTCATTCATAGTCATGCAATTTTTTTTACTTCGTCATTTTCATTCGGGTTGAAAAAGCCTATGTCGTGGGTTTTAGTTCACTTATGCATGTGTCTTTCGGTCATAGCAGATGCTCGTTTGCTCTTCATTCAATTATTTCATGTAATTCAAAGTTAAGGTAACAAGCGCAAAATTAATTCAAACTGGTTTAAATGATTGACTCGACCGGCGTTTATTTGTTGAACTGCAATTCCGGTTTGCGTGCAGATAGCTGATGACAACCGTATTTTTGCCCATTTTAAATGGCAATTATTGCATCTTTATTATCAATTAAAACAAATTTAATTTATTATATAATTTAAACATACACTTTACAACGCATTCTTCTAATTGTCATATAAAATGTCGACATCAAGTCGACTTTGTGTTCGATACGCTAAGTTATGCGAAAGTATTCATGAATATTAAAAATGCAAACGATTCGCTGAAGGAATAGGGGAATCTTTTTCTTCCGAAGAAATGAAGATGAATACTTTTTTAGCTATTTGAAACGTAATTTTCGTCATCTTTGGCTCACATTCTTCGGTATAATTTGTGTTATAGAAATACATTTTCAAACAGCCAATTTATTTGTCTAATGTTCTTTTAGTCGGAGTCAGCTTGCAAACGCCATAAATACGTTCATTAGAACATATAATTGTTTAGCCACACTTTTCAAGCAATCAATGCAATCGTAATGTGCGTTATACGAGTCTGATGTGCGTTGACTTGGAACGGAACGTTGAATTTGAACACTGCATAGTTCAATACGAAGTTTAATTAAATTCAGACAATCAAAAGAAAATTCATTATAGGGATTTCAGCAAAGAAATTTGAACTTCTATATATATAACATTCTTTGTTACTTTCGCCTATTCTTTTGTTCGCATTCCGTTCGAAAGAAAAATCAACGTAATTTCCGTCGACGATTTCAAACGAAAGTTCTTTTATCATTAATTCCAAGAAGTTTTTCGCATTTACTCGGATAGGTTCGGAAAAGATACATTTTTGAATTATATATGAATGAGGAGTACGGTCTTTCATTCGTTTTTTCTTGATATTTCTTTGAATTGTTTCAGTTTTTATTTCTACGATATTTTTCATATAAATACACGCTTGAAATGTGAACAAAGGCGTAGCTTTTGGTAATTCACGCGATGAAATTCATTTAAAGAAATGGCGCTCGAATTCGATTGTTTGATCCGTATAAATTCGAAATCGTTTATCGTTTTATTGAAAATTATTGCTGAAATCAATTAGCACCGCATTTTTCAATTTGTTTGTGTTTATCAATGCATAAAATATGATGATTGTATGAAAATAAAAATATCAATTTAAAAAATATTAATTTGGGCGGTAATTTTGAATGGTTTCGATTGATTTTTTATTGAAAATAAAATTGGCAACTGGTTAAGGGAATAGTAAGGAGTTTCTGTTGAAATGTTATTACACATACATTTGGTGGCTTCCCTCAGCGATTTACGTAATAACTTTATCGCCATCATCTATTAAATTCTATTAAATATGTAAATTCAGTGTAATAATGAATGGGCAAGGAATTGAGATGTGCACGAGCTGATGGTAACGTGCATCATCGCTTTGATTAAGTGGCTTATGTGTGGGAGAAACGAGGTCATTATAGAACCAATATTAATAATATACCGTATTTGTTTTAAATGCCCTAAAATCATGAGGAGACATGTGCCATTTTTGGGCTAGTTTAACAATTAGATAGTTCCATGGTCTTCATTAAAATGTTCAACATATCTTTCAAGTTATTAGAATAGACTTATGACTCATGCCAATATGCAAATAAGTTGGTTGAATCGAGATTCGGTATATGCAACATTGTTCAGGCATTTTGTTTGGAAAATGGATCGACAAGTTCACGGTGTTAGGCCCTTTTAATTTTTGAATTAAGCAAAACGATAAACTTTCGAATTTAATAAAGGAATGACATGACAATTTATGATCTGTGCAGCGGCGGAAGTCCCACTTTTGAATGACTCATTACGTGAAACTGACGAAGTAATGACATTTCACCAACATCCAAAAACAACAATTTTCACTTCAAAACTGGTGAAACTTGCCAAAATCCACCATTTCAATTCGAAACAATTTCTTAAATCAATAAAATTGTTCGAGTTTTCCTTACGCTCGACAAACGGGAGGCGTAGACTTTTTAATTAAAACCACAAACAATACAGATTTACCACGTCAGTTGGAAGGATTATAATAGAATGTGAGTTGAAAGAATTCGGAAAATGTGCACCTTTCCATGGAATTTCGTGCATTGGGATCGACAGAGCAAATTTGTTTAGCGGTCGTTGTTGTTGTTTTGTAATTGGAGTGTGGGCTGTGGCACAAACTATTCTTCGAATCGAAAGTTGTCACATAACAAGAAAATATCCATAAACTCGGTTAATACCGACGACGGATTGGGATTTTTCATTTGGTCGACTACGTCGCATAATTGCGTCATAAAACCCCGAAAAAAATACAAAGAGCCGTGGCTAATGCAACTTGCAAGTAGTTCGAAACTATCATCACAAATTCAACGCAATGAAACAGCTATAACTGTATTAAGATTAGATGGAATGCTTAATAAGACATGCAATATGTTTGGGTTTGGTACACGTCATCCAAACGCAATTCAAAACACCTGCTACCAATTCACTGCGACTCTCGTGTAATTCCAATTAAAGGCGTCGCACTGGCCAAATATAAAATCCAGGTTGATCTCAGAAAAAGCATTGATTTGAACGTGCAGAATCATTAAGACATAAATGAAACCAGAAAGAAAAAAAATCGCCAATTAAATGGTAAAACTCCTCATTATGCAATAAACGCGAATCTAACACAGAATGTACACCAAACACAAATCGACTGGATGGAGAAAAAGAGCGTGAGAGATGAGAAGCAAAATACAGCCAAATCGGTGGCTCACTTGTTTAAACATAAACGGTAATATAAAACCATCAAATTGTAAACACAAACGTGATTTGACACATAATAAAACTCCAATAAAAAAAACCCGGTAAGTAGTCTGAATGCACACGAAGGGAAGAACAATGAAAAGAAACAAACAGATAAAAACAATAACGAATTTCACGACTTTTTGTTTCGCCGTTCCTATCAAAATGTGTGTCAATAGGCGAAATTTTTATGAATTATCGAATTTCACATGAAAATAATGTTGGCCAATAAAAATTGCTGAGCTACAAGATTTTCGATGCTTTTTTCATTGCCAGTTTTATTTCAAATCGATTTAATTGTGCGTTGAAGACGATTTAAGAATACTTTTTTGGCAAGCAGCATATTGCACAAGCGATTTAACATTTGCTCGGAGAAATAAACGAACACGACTGAATGTTGTAAATGTTGTGAAATCCTTTTGCTGTTTGTTTTTGTTACTGTCATTTTGCGTGTGTACCTACGGGAAGCAGAATTTTTATCTTCATTTATTACATGGTCATAAATGTGAACAATCCTCACAAAACGCAACAGAAACGTACACAACATACAAATGACTTGAAACCCTTTCACCAGCACATCTCTCTTGCACTCTTTCGTTCTATGTCTTTTTCTAAGCCAAAATATTTTTCCTCATTCATTGTTATGCTCTGTGTATGAATATGCATATGTAGGATGCAATAACCCATGAAATATGTTTTTTTTGCGCTCACTGCTGGAATTTGTAGCATACTGACACAACAAAAAATACATATTGCTCTGCTTGAAAGATGCGTGAAAAATGGAACGCAAAAGAGGTAACAATGAATCAATGTTTGAAGCAACATGAACTCTTTGTTTTTCTCCGAAAAACATATCGCCCTAGAAAAAAATTGTCCTTTTTAAACTAAATTTCTTTTGTCCGTGGTTATACAATACTTTTTCGAGCCATATTTTCGTTTGAAAAATAAAAACAGAGCGCAGCGTTTGCTTTGGATACCCATTCATATGGTTATAGTTTCGGAAGGCAATTTATCGTTTCGGAATGTGTCATTCCATATGCTACGATGGCAATACAAAAAGAATTTCTAGAGAAATGTTTTGCCATTTTGGACCGTCCCTAAATTATACAATATATAGGAATAAATGGTTCAATTTCGCTTCGAGAAATTTTTACTGAATTTCAACACTGCCATTCTCAGCAGCAAAAGGGAAGTGGGGCATAGGAAATGTGAAGAATATTCATCCTTTACATGTCTTCGTTTCTAATTTATTGGCGAATATTTTTCATTTCATTTTCAGTGTGGAGATGAATTTGCAGTTGTTTTTGCACTCGGAAATGATGGACGTTGTCGATGAATAATGTTACTTGGTAATCGTTGCGTGTTTTTATACAATCAATCAAATGTCGCCACATTATTTACATTGTATGCTTTTGTCTTCTCTCTTTATTTCTCATTTTTATTTATTTTTTCTCTTTCTGCTTTTGCACAAATCAATATGCATGAAAACTCATCGCGAAAAATTGATGTAAGTAACTTATAAATGTTAATGCATTTGGCGAGTTAGAAGATGAATTCATCCGAAATTGTGTAAAAATGTGTGTAGCGAATAAGACGAAACTCAAACAAGCGAACAAACAAACTAACAAAACAGAGTAGCAGCAACTTTGTTTGAATGTCATGCAATTTCGCTTGGCACGACCGGATTTTACTTAAATAAATTGAAAGACAACACATTGATACATTCTTGTTTGTTTCGCCTGATAAAAGTTGATCATGTCTTGAGTTTCATGCACTTCGAATATTAGATAGATTATGGAGTTCATCTGTGTGTTTGGAATTACAACTATGAATAAATACCTCAAACTATGATCGTTCGAATAGTTGGAATCGAAAAAGAAGAGAGAAAGAGAGGAATATCTGCATTAAGAGCATGCTAGAAATTTGCTGACGCAATAAAAACAATAGCT